TGGATTTTATCTTTCATTTCGGTACATGAATTAGGGTTCACTGTCATCAATTGATTCTGACAAAAATCAATTTCAAGTGCCAAAATTTGTGACACAAGTCAAATCCAAGTACCATTTTGAACAAAAATAATACCAAATACTAATTTATATTTAAATTTAGGATTTAGTTAGACGAAAGATCCATGTAATACGGGAAAATTTTACGTGCGACAGCTTTAATATATAGTTAAAGAAAGCGTTACGGTTTTGTTATTATCTTTTTAATAAAATCGGTAAAAATTTGCCGGAAGTATTATTATTTCTGTCGTTTTTGTTATTATTGGGTATTTTATTGGTTTTGTTAATATATTTGGTAAAGTGTTATTTAAAATATTATTATTTTTATATATTTTGTTATTATTAGGTATTTTATTAAAAATGTTAAAAAATATTAATATTTTAGTAAAAATATTAATATTTTAGGTAATTTTTTATCGATTTTGTTAAAAAAAATAATAACAAAACATGCACAGTATATTTCTTTAGCCGTACATGGTAGAACGGGATGTGTAATACCTATTTGAATGAAACGGAATTTTGTTATATGTAATTTGATGTAGTCTTACAATTTACTTAACACTATAACATTTACCAAACGTTAGTTAAAAGTGGCATTACTTTTCACAAAATAACATCACCAAGATTTTTATATTTCTTGTAAATTTTCCGTACAAAGAAATATTAGTATCGACATAAAAAAATATTTTCATTTAGCTTTTTCTCACTCATAATTGGATAAGTTTAAACTTTTTAATTTATTTTAAAAACTTTTTATTTGCCCAAATTTTAGTCAATTCGTCTTTATGGTTGGACATTTATGCACTATGAACAGGTTATTGAAGGCCTAATTAAAGTCACAACGCCGTTCGACCGAAGGATGGTATAGTTTTAGGATATTATCCAATGAAATGTTAAAAGATATAGCATCGACATAAAAATTATTTTCCTTGAACTTTCCCCCAAATCTTATTTTGATTAGGGAAGTTTAAAATTTTTAATTTATTCATTGAACGTTTGACTTGTTCATATTTTAATAATTTTATGATTCTATATTTATCTTTTCAAAATTATGAAATGATCTTAAAAAAATTTATTTTATTTTATTTTTGTTTTTTTTTTAATTTTCTTATTCCTTTTCATTTCTTGATAAGAAAAGATGAGTTTTAAAGTGATTTCAAAAAAAATCTAAAACGATAGGATGATAGGAGAAAATGAGACTTGTTCATCAGTGTCGAGTGATAGAAAAAAACCGTTAGAGAAATGATAGTTGCAACGTTGACATGACAAATGGAAGAAACTTTAAAAGTTTTATCTTCAAGGAAGAAAAAAAAGATGTCGATATACTGTTATCAAAAAACAGTTCACATCTACTAACTTATTACAATTTCATTCTTTTATTTCTGACTTAGAGCTCAAATCATCAAAATAAATGTAAAGCAAAAATTTAGTGAGTAAATTTTAAAAAATAAAATTTCAATGACAAAAATAGGAATTAAAAAGTTAATAAAATTTATAATTTACCCAAGTACTTTTTAAAAATCATTAAAATTTTGGGAAAACATAGAAAAAATATAGATTAATTTTTTAAAATTTGAAAATGACATCTAGAAGAGAATTCCAAAATTGATTTTTTATTAAAAAATATGATTTTTTAAATAAACTATCCAGTCCTGAATTGTCATGTGATTTATCATTTCAATGTACTTAAAATTTTAAGAATTCAATAAACATTTGATACAAAAACTAGAAGCAATTTGGCTAACTTGTGAAAGATGAGGGCTGCAGTGAAATAAAAATAAGTCCAAAGGGAAAAATTATAATGTTGGAGACTAAATTTATCTTTAAGTGAAAAATAGTTATATCATCAAATTTAACCAAATTAACAATTATTTGAGTATTCAATACAGCTTTGTCCTTATTCGAACACATTTGTAAATATCAGAATCTTAATCAATCATTTTTAAAAAATTAAACATTTTTGTCAATAACAACTTACAAAATAGACACTCAATGATACTAAAAATTATTTATTCAAAAAAAACTAAAAATTATTTTTTTTAATAAAAAATGTAAAATGTACTATTTTTATTTTCTCTTAAAAATATTTAGAATTTAATTCAATAACAATATATAAAATTAAAAACAATGAAATATGAATCTAAATATAAAACTAATAGTAAATAAGAATAATTTATATTTTATTAATTAATGATCTAGTTGATTATTGAAATACATGACCGTGAAAATAAAATTAAAGATTGCACTCAGGGATACATCTAGAGGGGAACCGGTGAGGGCGGTCGACCCCATAAAAGTTTTTAATTCCTATATATTTCAGAAATTTTCATTGTATTTTTTATTTAAAATATGTTTCGTCACCTAAACTTTTACAAGTTCTCCCCTACTTCAAATTTTTTAGGTTCCCTCATCTAACATGAAATTCTGTTTGTCCGTCCTTGAGTAGAATTAAAAGTACAGTTACAGGAGAAAGTAGGAAGAATACCAGGTGTTCCACCAGTCTCAGAACAATCTCCAAATCCATTGTGATTTTTTAAACAATCTGCCCTACAACTCTCAAGTTGACAACTGTTTTGTTGTGACATCTCAAAGCATCCTTCAGTCTCAGGTACCATTGTAATAACTGCAATAAATATTTATCAATTATATAAAAAAGAAAACCCTATCAACTATGAGATTAAGGGATAAAGACAACAAACCAGTGAAGAGTAGGGCAATGACGACAGCTTGAGAGAAGGTAAATCTAGCCATGTTTTTGAATGTTTTCTTACAAGAAGAAAAATCTTATGTTTTTTCTATGAAATTGGTTGATGGTTTAGGGTTTATGCATGTACTGATGGAATTACCATTTACAAAGCTATTAATGAGTCAATCAAGAAATATCAAAATACTATACGTTACTATCAAAATTTGATTCTTTCCATGAAAAGCACATCGATTTTCTTAGATTTCCAACGCTATTAATGTGCCAATTAAATGAGAATTAAGAAAATAAAATAGGTTTGATTTGGAAATACAAATGTGAAAATTAATGAAAAAAAAGACCCAAAGTTTAAATATATACAAATTACACGTCAATAAACGAAATTTAAGAAATTTTATGCGTTTTTCATGGAAAGAATAAAAATTTGATAGTAACGTATGATATTGTGATATTCCTGGATTGACTCATTAATATCTTTGTAAATGGTACTTCCATCAGTACATGCATGGCATAGAGTAGTGTATATATAAACCCTAAACCATCAACCAATTTCATATAAAAACATATTTTTTTTGTAAGAAAATATTCAAAAGCATGGCTAGATTTACTCTCTCATGCTGTCGTCGTTGCCTTACTCTTCACTGGTTTGTTGTCTTTATCCCTTAATTTCATAGTTGATAGTGTTTTTTTTTAATAATTGGTTAATATTTATCGCAGTTATCACAATAGTACCTGAGACTGAAGGATGCGAGGAGATATCAGAACAAAACAGTTGTCAACTTGAGAGTTGTAAGGCAGATTGTTTACAAAATCACAATGGCTTTGGAGAATGTACTCAGACCGGAGGAACACCTGGTATTCATCCCACTTTCTCCTGTAAATGTACTTTTAATTGCACTCTTTAATTTTATTTTCACTCTCATGTATTTCAATAATCAACGCGATGGTTAATTAATAAAATATCAACTATTCTTATTCACTGTTGTTATTTTTATTTTTAAATTCATATTTGTTTGTTTATATTTATTGTATTGTTATTGAATTAAATTTATAACATTTTAAGAGAAAAATAACAATAGTATATTGTACACACTCTTTTTATTGAAAATTAAATAGCTTTTTAGGTTTTTTTTTTTGAAAAAATAACTTTTTAGTATAATTGTCAATAAATGGGAGTTTAATCATTTTGTAATTTTGATTAGTTATATATATATGCATCAAATGACCATATATGAAAAATTAATGGGTAATTATTATGGAAGTGAAATATATATATATATATATGGTTTAGGAAATATGTTTTTTTATACTTTTTCAAAATTATATAATTTTACATTATATTAATCATCCCACAACTTTCGATATGCTAAAGACAAATATAGAATAAAGCAATCAGGCTAGAGCCAGCCCTTCGTGGTTACTTTACAGTATGGTTGCACTTCTAATTTTAAATTATTTTACAAATAAACCTAAATTTAAATCCATATCCATTTCTCTAAATACTTTATGCGGTTATTTATATTAAATTTAAAAACAATTATTTATGGAATATTCGTTTTTATGTTTATTTAACTTTTATTAGTATTTTCAAAAGAAAACTTTTAGTAAATTTGTCTAATTTTAAAATTATTTAAGTTAATGTTATGTTCGTGTATGCTATAAGATATATGGAAATTGATTTTTTTTCCGGATATTCATAACTACTGCTAGTATAGTATCATATATTCTCGTCTCTAAAATTCAATTAGAACTTTTACTATAATGTATGCTTATATAAAAAGATAATTAAAAAAAATTTAAACTTAATAAACACCTTCAATTGTAATTCAAAATCAAATTAAATAAAATCTGAATTAACCCATGACTATCCCTTCACTCAGCTATGAATAAAACATATCTTCATTATTTTGTTATGTTTCTCCTTGGTTCTTGGATTCTCCCATAAATTATGGTGGAAAGTATTTCCCAATGGCCAATGAACATTCATCCACGTGGAAACTGAGAATACCAGCTCGCCATTGCAGTATCCCAAGTAGTTTCCTCCAAGCTTCCTCTCTCTCTCTCAACTCATCATCATTTACTCCATTAATTATTCCAAAACCCTGTTTGTTTCTTTTTTCTTTGTTAATGGGGTTCCCCCTAGCTTTATAGCTCACTTTCTTTTACTTACACCACACTTCTTGTCCTATAAATAAACCCAAAACCAAAGTATCCATCTGCGACTCCCAAATCACTTTCTTCAACAAGCTCATCACCATGAAGTGCTCTTACACAAAGCCAGCGTTGCTTGCAATGGTTTTTATGGTGACAATGGTGGCCACGGCTTTTGGACAGGGAACTCGAGTCGGGTTCTATTCTAAATCGTGCCGTCAAGCCGAGTCCATCGTTAAGTCGACCGTGGAATCCCATTTCCGTACCAATCCCGCCATCGCGCCGGGCTTGTTGAGGATGCACTTCCATGACTGCTTCGTCAACGGCTGTGACGGGTCGGTTCTCATCGACGGTCCCGATACGGAGAGAAGAGCCCCTCAGAACAGCTTACTGAGAGGCTTTGAAGTCATTGACGACGCCAAAAGAAAGCTCGAAGCCGTTTGCCCCGGCGTCGTATCGTGCGCTGATGTTCTATCTCTCGCTGCTCGTGACTCCGTCGTCTTGGTAAAATAACTCGGATTCTATATTATTGTAGTACGTAGTTGGATTTGGTGACGAAAAAAATATTTTTATGACCACTAAAAGTCTCATAATTTTATATTATATGTGAAATGAAAAAGCAGACAAAAGGAATAAATTGGAAGGTGCCCACGGGACGTAAAGATGGAAGGGTTTCGTTGCAATCGGATGCCTCCAGCTTGCCTAGCTTTAGGAGCTCCATCGACTCCCAAAAGCAACAATTTGCTCGCTTTGGTCTCGACACTAAAGATCTTGTCGTCCTTGTTGGTAAGTAATTTGAATTTAATTCGACCTAAATCATAATACCTTCTTTTACTTCTTACAATTTTATTTCTAAATTTGTAGGAGGACACACCGTAGGGACAGCAGCTTGCTTGGTATTTAGCTACAGACTAAATAACTTCACCAATGGTGGTCCAGACACGACAATCAACTCATCATTCCTCCCTCAGCTGCAAGCACTTTGCCCGCAAAACGGAAACAACTTCCGGCGTGTGGATTTGGACACCGGTAGTGCCAACAAGTTCGACACATCCTTCTTCACCAACTTGAAGAACGGCCGAGGCGTGCTCGAGTCGGACCAGAAGTTGTGGACCGATCCATCGACGAGGACCATCATCCAGCAGTTATTGGGCGAGAAAGGCCTCAAGAGATTGAACTTTAACAAGGAATTCGCTAGGTCGATGGTGAAGATGAGTAATATAGGTGTGAAGACGGGTAGTAATGGTGAAATTCGAAGGGTTTGCTCCGCAATTAACTAATTTCTTTTGGCATTAAGAGCTTTTCCTAATAAGTTAATGAAATCATTTTGTAATGTCTTGATTTCAATGATTTCAAGTTGTGGACAAGAAAATAAACGTTAAAATCAATTATTTATTTATTTATGATCTATTTCAATTCAACTTTAAAATCATGGAAATTTAAAATTAATTTTATGTGTAGATGAATAAATTATTAGTAAAAATAATTTATAAAATATTAATATTTTTAAATTAAAAAATCTATAAATTACTCGAAATCAACGACCATTGTCGGTAATAATATATTTTACATTGACCAAGAAAACCCTAACATTGCCCAAGTTAAATTATTAACAAGTATATGTAAGTTTTGATATTCGTATTTGTTTTTTATATTAATTGTGAAAATATGAATATAATATATAAATGCTGTCATATTTATTATATTATAATTTTTGGATCCATAAATCGTGAATATTTTAATTCTATAAACGATTTAAAAATGACTGTATGTCTTATTTATTTAAATTGTAATATTTTAAAAATTATTTTTATTAATTAGATATTGATTTGTTAATTCTATTTGTGGAGTTAAAAAAACTCCATCTCTAGTCTATCAAATAATAATTTATTTATTCTATTTTTGGTAGGCTTGTTTCCTGACTGGCCGAATCAGTTCTGGTGGAGTATTGGCTTTTGTTTGTAGTTTTGTTCCAATGTCTTGTGTGGCTGTGATTGTGCCTTTGTTTTGGTCGGGATCTTGGTTGATCTTCAATTATTCCGGTGCAGTGGTTTTGTATTTTGTTATGGTAGTGGCTTTGTGGTGTTGCATTGTACATGAACCTTTGATACATACAATAAAGTTATTCTATTTCACAAACAACCTTAATTTACAAACAAATTTATCAAGTGGCGTCAATGATAAAAGAGAATATTGTTCTCTCTAGGGTATTGAGTTCGAGCAGTTGTCTCTATAAGATGTGTGTGTTATTAATAGATTAAGGAGTTTTGAAACAAATACTATCTTATAATCATTTCAGATCATTAAAAGAGAAATCACTATTATGAAACATTAGAATTTGTGTATTCTATTTCCTATTTACTACATATTCAAAGTAGATATATGCTTGAGGTATTTTATCTAAATCTATTTTTTATGAATAATAAATATAAATTCAATTAATTATCATTCGAACTTATTTTACTTTTGCAATTAAATGATTCAGATAAATGGTTTGAACTTTTATATCTGATTAATTTGGCTACACTTTTTAGAGATAATTGGTTCAGATGTGTTATAACATAACATATGTTAGTAATGCTTAAGAGTGTAGGCGCATATATCTCACGTTGAGAAGGAAAATTCTTTTGAAATGGTATTTAAAGAGACATTATTTCTCTTCCTTAGTGAATGTTGTTAGCTCTTTCGATTAATTAAAAATTGTCAAGAGGAGTTGAATTGACCTTAAGATGCTTTGACATTCAATAGAATCGATCTTTTGAGTAAAAAATTCTTGAAAATTTGACTTTAAAGTGCACATGTTTTTTGAAAAAGTTCGACTAAGTTGAAAAACATTTAAAATAAATTTTCAAGTTAATTTGGACTTTAAATTGTTTTTGATAAATTTTTAACAAATTATATTAAGTCAAAAAATTCTTTTGAGACCAAAAATTAATTTTACAATTTAATTGTTGTATCAAAATATTAATTCAACAAATGTGGTTGGACAACTCCCTCGTACGTCCTTATCAATTTCATCGTCATCTGATCGTTCAACTCGGTTTGTAGTTGTGGTCATACATTTTTTTTTTTGAAATTAATTCATTATAATATAACAACTATTACACCTGTTGATTTTTGTGAGATGATTGTTGGATCTCCACGAGTCTAATCTAAACGCTTTTGGGGCTTGATTCATCTTTTCACAACAGCAGACAACATTTGTATTCAGAAGATTAATTCCAACAATATATATGTTACATAGTAGTATTATGGCAGCAACTGTAACAGCTGCGTGGTTTAAGTCTTATTTTGCGTTTTGTGTCTGTGAATAAAGCTTATAAATACATAGCTCTATCCTCATTTTTTATCATTCAAATTAAAACAAAATATTTAGCCCTTCTACGAAAATACTTCATTCCTTCAAATTTTGAAAGTTTTTCATTCTTTACGATTTTAAAAGAAGAGCAGTAGACCGCTGTCTACACTAATTTCTGAGTGTACGAATTCTCAAAAAGATTGTGTTAACTTCGGAGGACGACCGTCTACTACAACGATTATACACATCATGACAAATATTTTCTAAGACAATGATTAATACCACAACACAATTACTCTTTTTTATTTATTTGTTTTAATATTTTTCAGTTAATATTGTCGATTCCGCTTTGTAATTTTTATTTTACCAACAATACAAATTCTATACAAATTATTACCTATATGTGTAAATTTATATTAATTTAAATTTATCACGTACAAATTCTATCTGAATTTATTTTAATCTATATTGTTTTTGATTTATACTTTACACGGATTTGACTATAAAAATTTTAGTCCTTAATCTATATACTTATAGTTATATTACTTTTAAAATAAATAAATAAAGTGTATTTTAAATTTTTAATCTTATCCGACGTCTAAAAAACGGTTAAAAAATGACGTGACCTGTTAAACAAGTGATCGGTTAAAATTTAGACCAGTTATGTTATATCATTTAACCAGAAATATTATCAAGTACAATAATATATTAGGTAGCGCTTATATAATGTAATAGATAACGCTTATATTGACCTATTTTCTAACTAAACAGATATATTTAAACCGGTAATACTACAAATTTACCTATTATATTATAATTATCGATTTTGATGTTTTTGGGATTGATACAATTTTAAATGTATCGACACTTTATGCATGCACCTCGTTGTGCTTTCATTTTGGGAAAAAAGTATCGACACATATTTAAAGAGTGTCGATATATAATGTAAACCTATTTGCTAATTAACAGTATATTTTTATCGGTTACATTGTAAATTTACCTGTTACATAATAATTATCGATTTTGATTTTTTTAAATCGATATTTTTCATAAATGCATCGACACTTATGCATGCACCAATTTGAGTTCTTCAATCATAAGTTTATTCTTTAAGAAACTAAAACTGGTTTAACTTTATCTTATGGAGTAATAAAAGTATATCATAAGTTTGCGTTGAGAGATGTTTGTTTCTGGGTTTTTGTTCTTTGAGAAACTGATAACATGGTGGGTTTCATAATGTTATTCTTTTGTTAATGCAAAGTTTTTGTTATTTTCTTACTGGGTTTTGCTTAAAATATCTAACTTTTTGTATTAAAAAATAAAAATTCTGAAATAAAAATGATCACACAAGCACACTTTTTTACTACCGGTTTTGTCATTTCGAGATCGATTTTGTTATATTTTTACTTGTTATATTGTTATGGATCGATACATTTTTATAAAGTATCGACACTTTATTGGCGCTATAACTTTTTTTCTTTTAAATTCCAAAAGTGTCGACATATCTGGTAGCTCTTTACCGATTTTGTCATTTCGAGACCAGTTTGTCATATTTTTACCTGTTATATTGTTATGGATCGATACATTTTTATAAAGTATCGACACTTTATTAGCGCTATAACTTCTTCTCTTTTAAATTCCAAAAGTGTCGATACTTATAATAAAGTATCGACACTATCAACATATCCGATAGCGCTTTACTTGTTTTGTTATTTATAGACCGGTTTTGTCATTTTTTTTACCTATTTTATTGTTATGGATCGATACATTTTTATAAAGTATCGACACTATCAACATATCCGGTAGCGCTTTACCTGTTTTGTCATTTATAGACCGGTTTTGTCATTTTTTTTACATGTTATATTGTTATGGATCGATACATTTTTATAAAGTATCGACACTTTCAATATATCCGGTAGCGCTTTACCTGTTTTGTCATTTATAGACCGGTTTTGTCATTTTTTACCTGTTATATTGTTATGGATCGATACATTTTTATAAAGTATCGACACTTTCAATATATCTGGTAGCGCTTTACCTGTTTTGTCATTTATAGACCGATTTTGTCATTTTTTTACCTGTTATATTGTTATAGATAGATACATTTTTATAAAGTATCGACACTTTCAATATATCCGGTAGCGCTTTACCTGTTTTGTCATTTATAGACCGGTTTTGATATTTTTTTTACTTGTTATATTGTTATGCATCAATATATTTTTATAAAGTATCGACACAAACCGACAAGCTAAGTTTGCCGGTTGCCAAATTTTTTAATATTTATTCATGATTTCCACCTATTACATTATTATTACTCGATATTTCCGGTAACACTAAACCGAATTTATCAAATATCTTTTAATATATCCGGTAACGTCGCATATTAATCGTATATTAGTCCGTCTTTCCGGAGACAATCCCACGGCTAGGAGATCCGATCAGTTTCGGCGACGTGATAGGTCAGCGTCCCTCAGACATCGGGAATATCGACACGTGTCTCAAGAACACTTGGCAAATAATTTTTCTATTACGGCCTACTTCCCGTAGGTTATACTAATTACTTGGGCTAAATTACATAACTGACACTGTTTGTTTTTAATTTTACTTTTCTAACACCGTTCGACCAATATTTCCAAAACTAGCACCCTTTCTGCTGAGTTGGCAAAGGCGCGTCCCCGGGGACGCGCTTTACCCGTGTTTTCACTGAGTTGGATGCCACGTGTGAAAGGCGCGTCCCCGGGGACGCGCCTTTGCCATATCAGTAGACACGTGTGGAAGGCGCATCCCCGGGGACGCGCCTTTCATTAAATGTCATAAATGCCCCTATCCGTTTTTCCTAACTACCCCTCCTCCTCCCCTATATAAACCCCCTCAACCCTCACTCATTCTTCACACCAAAATCATCTTCTCATCTCTTATAACTCAAATTCTCCAAATATTTGAGTTTTAAATTTGTTATTAGTGGTAAGAAATTTATTTTTATGTTAGTATTTTTTTAAATAGTTATTATTTTTTATATTAATATATTTATGTAAATATTATTTTTTTATTAAAATAATATTTAT